AATTACCTGCATTTGTTGAGGGTCACGGCTAGCCAAAAATGAATCAGCACCAAGATGTTCCAAAGCTTCTTTCATCTTGCTTGGAGAGGTACTAATTACTGTCACTTTAGCTCCAAAAGCCTTCGCAAATTTAACAGCTACATGACCAAGCCCACCAAGGCCGACGACGCCGATGTGCTTCCCTGGTTCAGCTAATCCAAAATATTTCAAGGGACTATAAACTGTGATCCCAGCACAGAGTAGAGGAGCACCAGCATCAAGTGGCATATTATCAGGGAACACAACTATGTAGCGTTGATTGGCGACCATATAATCGGAATAGCCCCCATATGTGATTGTTCCATCAGTGTCAATGGAATTGTAGGTAAGTATCAATTTTGAACAGTAGTTTTCAAGATTATTGACACAACTATCGCAGGAGTGGCATGCACCCACCAAGCATCCAACACCAACTTTATCTCCTACTTTTACTTTCTTCACTTTGCTACCCACTTCGGTCACTTCTCCAACAATTTCATGCCTGCAATCATGCTTTAGATGGTTAGGACTAAGGTTAATTAGGAATCCAATTTAACGTGTATGGAATGGATTGAACTAGGGAATACATTAAAAGGATCAAGATAAGACACGCGCACCAATAAAGTTAATCTTTTTATGGCCACATATATATTATATAACAAGCATCTTTTGGCTGGAAATAAAGTGGTTCTTTCCCAGTCCAAAGCCATAATAGACTAATAGTATGTCTCCAATTTGTCGTTTTGTGAAAAAAGAAGAAGAAGAAGAAGGATGACAGTACATACCCAGGAAGCAAAGGGTAGGTAGAGTTGCCCCATTCATTTTTGATACTGTGAAGATCAGAGTGGCATATCCCACAATATAACACCTTAAACCTCACGTCTTCATCACCTGTTTCCCTGCATATGTTAATTAATTGTTATGATGTCTTTTCTTTTGCTAAAAGTTTGTGAAACTCAAATGTAATATTGAAATTGAATTACCTCCTGGAGAATTTGAAGGGAGAGAGATGACCTGAAGAGTCAGTGGCTGCCCACCCGAAAGCCTTTACAGGGTGTTGATCTTCCGGTGACTTAGCCATTTGATAGGAGGAAAAAATGTGGCTGTGTAGTGCTTAAAATTAACAATAATAAGAGAGAAGGAAGTGAAATAGTGAGGTAGTCTTAAGGTAATTTATAGAGGGAGGCGAGTATCAATAATCATAGAAGTAAGGTGATGTGAGGCATTGTATTACGGTGGCGTGACATACTTGGTGACCGAATCCTAGGTTAGTCAATCGATAATTAAGGCTCTATTGTTTTATTATTTTCAATTCTCAAAATACATATTTGTGTTATTATTCAAGGCTCTAATGTTTTATTATTTTCAATCATATTCTTAAAATACATATTTATTTTATTATTTGAGAAATTTTATTATATTTTTAATCATTTTTAAATCCCTTAAGTTTATTAATTTAATTAAATACTCCCTAAAAAAATTTAAAAATTAACAAAAATATCTTCATTCATCCATAGTTGTCAGATTCCGGTATAGAAACGATAAAAAATGATCGATAATTCATTGATCTAGCCTTTTCAGGTCAGATCCACACTAGATTTAACCAGAAAATGCCAGATCTGACCGTTAGTGATGACCAAAAAAATGGTCGTCATTGATGGTCAACAATGGCCATATCTTTGGCCATCACTGACGGCTAAATCTAGCCTTTTTCAGTCGTCAAAGGCCAGATCTGACCGTAGATCTGGCTTCTTCTGGCCAAATCAGTGGTGGATCTGGCTGAAAAAGGTCATATCAACGCACGACAGGCCAGATCCGACCGATTTGCGTCGTAACGCTATTTTCTGGCCAGATTTCGGTGGTGGTAGCCAGAATTTGGCACTGTGGATGGGTAAAGGTGTTTTTATTATTTTACAAAAAAATTATATATTGGGGTGTTTAGTTATATTAGCAAACCTAAAGGGTTTTTTTCTGTGAATTTTTAAAATTTACCTCGTAATACTTACCCTATTGCCTATTCAACTATATAATATTATTTCTAAAATCCTATAAAAAATAACAAAACAAACCGACCTAAACTTTGTTTATTCAGCAAAGTGGAGATGGAATCTAATTAATGTTTGGAATGGAATCATTCCGCAATAGCTGACAATACCAAACCTGTAAATAATTTGAAAAATCCACTACCATTATAAAAAAGTAAACGATGGAGTTTTAAGAACATGATGGCATGTTACCAAAAGTTGTGGTTGGTACATAACTACATTATTGAGTTAATAGATAATTAATTATTAATTATTTTTAAACTATCATGTTTTAATAATTTTTATATATGTTAAGTGTAAAATTAAAATGTTAATCTAAATAAATAAATCAATTAAAACTTAATTACATATTTATTTATTTTTTATTTTTAACTGATTAATAGAATTATGTTGTTATATTTGCAATTTAGTTAACCATTATCTAATTAATTATTTGAAAGATTAGTTTAAAGATTATTATTGACACACTACTCAAACGCTTACTCAAGGGGTAAATTTAATAAACTAAAGAATAATTTTATTTATATGAAAACCGGACAATAGCGCTAACTAAACCAATGGGGAGGCACGGGTAAACTTTTTTGTACATGGATAAGTTTTTAATCCAATAGTCAAACACATAGTAGAAATAACTAAAAAATTAGTGCATTTCCTCTTTTTTGTTCGATTCAAACCCGAGTAACAACACAGGATATAAAAAAGAAGAAAAACAAAAGGTAGCTGGAATATTCTTAGTCAAACTCCATATAGCTCATCCAAGAAAACAAATTAGTATTTTTAGTACAAAATGAACAAGGATTGACCTTCAACTTTCATGGGCAACTTGGCGGGGCGGCTCCATAATCTTTGAGGTCCAAGACAAAAAATAAATAATTAAATCATACGTAATGTATCGTTTCTATTAACAATAAAATTCAATCATATGTATTTCTTATGATTAGATATTGTATGGGCAAAAAATCGTAATTAAATAAATAATTAAATCATACGTAATGTATCGTTTCTATTAACAATTAGTATTTTTAGTACAAAATGAACAAGGATTGACCTTCAACTTTCATGGGCAACTTGGCGGGGCGGCTCCATAATCTTTGAGGTCCAAGACAAAAAATAAATAATTAAATCATACGTAATGTATCGTTTCTATTAACAATAAAATTCAATCATATGTATTTCTTATGATTAGATATTGTATGGGCAAAAAATCGTAATTAAATAAATAATTAAATCATACGTAATGTATCGTTTCTATTAACAATTAGTATTTTTAGTACAAAATGAACAAGGATTGACCTTCAACTTTCATGGGCAACTTGGCGGGGCGGCTCCATAATCTTTGAGGTCCAAGACAAAAAATAAATAATTAAATCATACGTAATGTATCGTTTCTATTAACAATAAAATTCAATCATATGTATTTCTTATGATTAGATATTGTATGGGCAAAAAATCGTAATTAAATAAATAATTAAATCATACGTAATGTATCGTTTCTATTAACAATTAGTATTTTTAGTACAAAATGAACAAGGATTGACCTTCAACTTTCATGGGCAACTTGGCGGGGCGGCTCCATAATCTTTGAGGTCCAAGACAAAAAATAAATAATTAAATCATACGTAATGTATCGTTTCTATTAACAATAAAATTCAATCATATGTATTTCTTATGATTAGATATTGTATGGGCAAAAAATCGTAACGGGTCTTGTCAAATTCAAACACGAAACAAATATTGCATGACCTACCACTATGGCTCAATTCTGATTGGTCCACGCTAAGATCTGTTCTACAAGTCAACCCATTCTATGCATTGGGCTACTTAAACAAGTAGGATCACTACAATCAAGGATCCCTTACGAATTGGGCTACTTAAACAAGTAGGATAACTACAATCAAGGATCCCTTAGGAATTGGGCCTTGCCATAAGTCCAATTAGGCTCCAACCCATTGGCCCATGACCATTCCAAAATAAGACTATGAGTCTCACACACTTCCTAATTCATCCAAGATCCTAATCTTATATGAATTAATGCTCCTAATACTACTTGGATAAGTTATACAGCTTTCATGTTTACTCAAACCCCTAAACTAGTAGAACTCAGAGTTCTACTAAGATTCAAGCCTCTATGGCTCACTATATAAACCGAGGTCTCCCCTCTCATTATTCATTCAATCCCAGCGCTCCTCACTTGCTTCTAAAGTTCTTGCTCTCAAGAACCTTCACTTCTCCTTGTCATAGTTTTAGTTCTGGTGATCTTGTAGAGCCGTGCTCCAACCACTCTACAATGACTATCGCGCCCTAACCAACCAACTCTGGTAACCTTCCTGTTCCCAGCCCTCACTAAATTATCCTTCAACCTCGCTAACTTGACCATCAGAGTGCCTACGGTAGGCACCACACTGGTGTCCTCATGAGCTTCGCGTTCACTCTTTTGTATGTGCAGGTTTATAAGATCGTCAGTGGTCTTATCCTCACAGGATCACTCCCTTCCGAATTAATAGTAGATTTTACCGTTTACAAATTTATGCTACCAACTAGTTGCAAATTTAACAAATATAGACAAATTAACAGCAAGCAAATATAAAATAAATAAAAAACACAAAAGAAATGTTCATGATGATGATTTGTAGACAGTGATATAAACAGCAAATATTTTATTGAGACTTGGAGAGAATTTTATATGATAAAGTCAAAGGAAAATTAAACAAACATTCAACAACATTTATGCTAATGTTTTGACTTAAGACTATAATATTGTATATAATTTGATGATATTCAATTTCAAGTAAACTATATTATAATCTTTAAGAAGATATTATTCGAAGGAATCCATACTAAGAAAAATAAGATAATAATATTCAAATGCAGAATTTCAACAAAATTAGTTTCTTAAGAAGAAAATTAATTGTTCTAAGTAATATTTTTATTTTACATTTTAGTAATTATTCAATTTAGGTCAGACTTAACTACATAGAATTTATTATTATTATTTTTTAACAAAATCAAATATGTTATAAGTTCATAATATTGAGGCCCTGATACAAAATGGGCCAGCCTCTATTTTTATTTTATTTTGGGTGTAACTCTACCAGCTTTTGAACCAAAACCACATTTTCTTAATTTGTTCAATTTAACCATTAATAATCGACAGACCTTGTTGTTATTATAAATGTTTGAAGAATATTTCATTATACATTAAGTGTGAGGTTAGGCACCCTAAAATATTTTATATTCATTTTATATTCTGATAATTATTTTAATATCTCAAATCAAGTACAAATAAAATCAATTTCTTCAAAACTTTTCTACTATATATGAACACCCAACTTTTTTTATTTATTTATTATTATTATTTTTTTTAGAGATTTCATAATAGAAACATCACTGTAAACTTTGAATTTGTATGGTACCAAACTACTATTTGGCGTATAATTAAAACATTCCATCATTTTATAGTACTAATTGATGTTGGAATTAGCAACCAGTTCAACAATAAGGAGTTTGCCTATAAGGGGTGACACACATGGGGGTCTGTAAGCGGTTTGGGTTTGTACCATGAAGAGCCGCTGTAGGATTCTCTAAGAAATATAACTCCTAATAGGGTTTGTCTTAGGAGTAAGAATTTTATTAGTTTAGGGTTTCTCTTAATAATCCTAGTATATAAACACATTATTCCCTTGTATAAGGGTGATAACTGTCATAGTTTGAGGAAGAAGGCAAGAGAAGCAGAAATAAACTGCTAGAGAATGGCAAGAGAAAGAGAAAGAGATGCAAAAATGTTTTCTGTATTCAATTGTATATTGTGTGTCCATACAATGTTCGATTTATACACATTTGTAACGGTAAAGAAAGGAAATACTATCATGCCATAAAGGCCTAATCACACAAATTATGCTAACAGAACATTTGACATTCAAGAGAAAATGCCAATCACTCCATGATTATCTCCATTGGATCTCAACACTTCATGATTATCGTCATCACTCCCCCTCAAGCTTGTGGTTTGTATATGTCATAAACTTCAAGCTTGCGAAGTAGATGTGATAGTTCCTATGTGGGTGGCTGGTGCAATATTTCTGTTTGGCATGCATACGGAGGTAGATGACT